CAATTTTTGGCACCCCTGGAATTTTATTACGGGTAAAATATCTCTGAAGTATATTCCCATTAACGTTTACCTTATTTAGCACACCAGCACGGAGCAAAAATGAATGTTCTGCCATGACAGTGTGAACTGAAGAGGAGAAGCACAGCTTGGATCTGGAGAGAGTCTGTATCTCTGATCTCAGGTCAGGTGTTCTCCAAACTACTCCGGCATTACGGGAGAAGACTCGGAGCTGGCAAAAGGAGATTGCAAAAAGTATTTAATAAAAGTGTGCCAATGATTGTGGCCAACGTGTTTTGGAGAAAAACATTTATTTCATAATGTGATTTCACCCCCACTTTCAACTCTTTTACTTCAGTGACAGGTTTGATTTTTGGCAATTTTTTGAATGGAAGATCAAAAGGATAAACAATGCAGGTTTATTTTTTACAGCCAGTTTTGATCATATTTACCAGGGGTGCCATCAATTCTGAGCACGAATATATATATTTATATTCTACTCGCTTTATTTAATTGTAATCTAATTCTTAATTATTTATATTCAAATTCTTATTTTTTATAATTTGAACTTATTTAATTTTTTTTCGTATTTTATTTGTTTATTTTAATCTTTACATTTATTTTAATAATTAATTAATTTAATTAATTTATTTTCTTATTATTTATTGTTTATTTTTTACAGTTCGTTTTTTTTTTTCCCCGGACCCTGATTTACACGTTCAGGCTGACTTACACAACCTACTTTAGCTTCTTTTAAGACATTCAACTGCTAAGAAAAGAAGTGCTTCCTTTACAAATGCAAGCAATTACACATTCTGCAAGCAACAGGAAGGAAATAAATAGCCAACAAATAATAAAACAGATTTTAAGGTAGTATGCACAGTGTGTAATTTCACCTTATTTTAAATGCTAATATAATTAAGCTAATAAAAAAAGATATTTATTAGGGCTGTCAAACAATTAATTGCGATTAATTAATCGTGTATAATTATTTTGTATATATATATATATATAAATACACACATATGCATGTATATTTAAGAAAAAAATATTATTTATATATAAAATATTTATATTTATATATCATATAAATTATAAATAAATCTATATACCGTATATACATGAAAATATTTCTTAAATATATACAAGCATGTGTGTGTATTTATATATATATTTAAAATAATTATACACAGTGCACCCACATATATTATGTAAACTTTTATTGTGGATGCGATTAATCGCGATAAATCGTTTGACAGCCCTAATATATATAGAATATTATGTCAAAAAAAAAACTTGACCTTGTGATTTTTTTTATTTTTTATTAATATTTTTATTGCGAGCCATGGCATAATGAAAAATACATAACTTCAAGGTATATACCTTGTGATTTTTCAACTTCACACAACCAGCAGAGGGCATCAGTGGCAAACACTGACACAGGACAGCACTACTGACGAAGAAACAGAATATATATATATATATATTACTTTGTTCACCCATGTTCCTAATTTGTATTGTCCCTGTGTTCCCCTCTGAAGGCTCATCAAGGCCTGCGCAAAGAATCATGGGAGTAATGTGTCCATCACTGGTAAATCATGCATTCTGAAGGGCCCTTTGAGCCCTAACACTAACTCCATACGCAAAAAAAAATAATAATAAAAAAAAAAATCCATTTTTATAGCCTGTCAAAACCAAATTTAAGATATTGTGAGGACCCACAGAAACCCCAAATTAACAGAATAAACAGAAAAATGATCCTAAACGTGTGAATGTGTCAGCGAACGCTTTAACACTTCAGAATAGGAACAAATATTTCATTATAATGATTTTGCAGAAACGTTTGAGACTGCGGGTGCGTCCCCATTCACATACTCATGTACTATTCAGTGACGTTTCGTAGTAGTAATCGTGCACGACGTAGTGTGTTCACACTGAAAGTTACAAATTGAAACTTCAGAAACTCAGATGATGCACTTAATAACAGCAAAAAACTACAAGACTCTTTTTAATGTTGATTGACAAAATAACCTCATAGAGTTCACAGTAGTGCATAAGTACTAATGTGTCATTTAGGACACCGCTTGCATTTTTCTTTGAAAATCTAGTTTAAAATAAACTAATCTGGAAGACAGAAACTTTATGGTAACTAATAAAATATCTGCTCTATTCTTGGTCAACAATCAAATGTCAGGACAAGTCACCTTTATTTCTATAACGTTTTATACAATACAGATTGTTTCAAAGAAGCATTATAATGATAACAGGAAAATTCAGTGATGCAAACAGAGTTCATTTCAGAGCTTTTCATCAGCTAAACTGAGATCTCATCCAATAATGTCAGTGTAGTCAAATCAGTAATATTGCTGAATATTAAGTGTGAATATTAATGTAACCATATTGTGTCAACAACGAGAACATCATAATCATGTTTTGCTCATGTCAGCTCAAGTGCTGCTGTCAAGAAAAATAATAATTCGATATTTTCAAATTCTTGCACAATTTTCAGTCAAACAAATTTCATTTGTAATTTCATATACAGACAGATATACAACAAAATATAAATAATACGATTTTGACAGAGTAAACATCAGACCCAGTAGAGAAATAAGAGCTAAAAGAAGATATTTGGTGGCTGTAAAGACGGTGCCTTTCACAGACTGTAAGAAATAATTCAAATATTCCATGTGCATGTACAGTATATGAACACTTAGTAGTTGCACTAAAGTTGTTATTGTTATCTAAGAAGATATGTTTCAAACGCTGCAGGATATAACTTTTTACATTTACCAGGCAGAAACTTACAAATATGCAGTTAGGCAACAATATTTATAGGCTAGCTTTATTATCTTAGGAAACAAAGTCAATGTGATGCTAAATAAGCTATCGGATTGGATCAAATCTTGAAAATGGGTTGTTCAAAAGAAAAAATGGATTCTGAAAACTGATTAAATCACAAAATCCAATCTTGGTTTTGATCTGATCAAATCATCAGGTTGTGTAGTTCAAAAAGTTTTAGTATGATTGGAAAAACTTCAGGATTATGATTATGATCCCAGCAGAAGGGTGGATTTCAGTAACAAAAATGTAATTAAACTTGTCCAAAAAATAAAGAAAACTTTTGCATCATTTAACAAACACACAAACTTTTTTTTTTATTTTGCTGTTGATTATTTGATTACTTTTAAGTGGGAACGCAAAAGCATTGAAACAAAGTTCCACCATATCTCATGTTATTTCCCTCGCCATGTCCCTTTAGGGTCTCCGTAGAGCATGGATCCAGATTTGGTAATCTGAAAAGTATCTGGATCAGGGTGATCCAATCCCATTTTACAATGAAAAATACAGTGTTGTGACGAGTTTCGACTCCCTGCCAAATTATTACCCCCCTCGTAAGTACTTGATTGCCTAATCCTAACCCCTCCCCTAATCCTAACCCCTCCCTTAATCCTAACCCCTCCCTTAATCCTAACCCCTCCCCTAATTCTAACCCCTCCCCCACAACTAATCCTAAACCTACCAATAGGGGGGAATAATTTGGCGGGGGTCAGAATTCAGCACAACACTGGCACAAAAGTAAGATGGATCACCTGATCCTGGACAGTAAAACATGGCATTTCCAACAACTGGGCCCGAATAAGTTGGGAAAACAAAAAAATATATAAATGCATCAAAATATTTCAATTTTTATGTTTTAAATTTAAAGTTTAAGTAAGCAGCACAGGGTTTTTAGGTTATTTTCAGATTTTTATTATGTACTTATACATATTAATTTCTCTTAAATTGAAAAATTAGAGTAAGCTAAGCTAACTCATACATTTCATTTAAAATTATCATGTAATCTCAATTTAAATATTTTTAGCTATTGGTGTAAACGTGGCTAGCTTTAACTTGCTAACTTGCTAATTGGTAAAACCACACTTTGAAAGAACATTATCATAGCATAGCAATTGCTGAATACGTACGGCAATATAGATGATTTATCATATACCTGTTCTCCATGATGATAATCCCCTAAAAAACCCAACATAAACTCTCCTAAATTAGCATAGCTAAACATTAAACAATTCCCCACTTAGCATTAATCTTGCATCCATCAAAAAAAAAACCAAACACATTATATAATAGCCTACTTAATTCTAGCATTTAGGCTACTTTCCCTTTCGATCATGGCAAAGCATGCTGGGAAATAGAAATCCAAGCCACGTTTTAGTTCAATTCAAGCCTGTCTAAATTAAAAGAAACAAGTTCATGAACTCAAAACAGTGAAACAATTCAGATTACTTAAAATGTGTTTTGTGAACTCAAAAGAAAAAGAAAGTTCTAGATATATACTATATATCTACTAATTTGCTTAATTTAAGTTTACCCTACTCAGACCAATTCGTTATTTTGAGCATTAGGGTTTACACTGTCGCGTTATATAATTGTAAAGCTAACAAGCTTCTTTTTTGTTAAATATGTAGCTATAAAGGTATGCTGGTCTATATTTATAAACAATAATCGCCACATGGTTTAATATTGTTATGTAATCAATGACATTCATGCATTTTTAAGTGTGACTGAAGTGTCTAAATACTTTTTGTGGCCTGTAAGGTCTAGCTATACTGCAAAGAAACACTGCAGTTATTCTAACGGTGCGTTTATTTTATTTATATAGTATAAGTCGTGATGGACTTCAGGGCGCGTATTTGTATTTGAGTGTGTGTGTGTGTGTGAGTGTATGTATAACGTTAGCCGAACTGGGCCGGTGTGGTTCGTGTTTCTCCACCCGTTTCCATTCGCCCAACCCCCACATACCACAAGAGCCCGCCCTTCTTCATTCCGAACAACCGAACGTGATAACACCCCCTTACGAAACGTCACTCTCGCCGGAGCCAAGCATCACGGGAGTTGTAGTCCCCAGCCGTTAAAAGCCAACGGACGCTACGCGCTTTTGGAACTACGAGCCCCAAACGTCACCACGCCCACAAGACGGTTGCCATCCAATCTGAATATGTGGGAGGAGAGCATCCGCCCACAAAAGCCACAGCAATTTTAGTGTGCCTCAAATGCAATTGTGCATCAAAAAAGTGAATTTCGGGAAATGTCGTGAGTGAATTCCGCCGAATAATCTCATACAAATACTTCCGCGACAGATTTAAAAAGAGAGCGAAATCGCCCAGGCACGCTGGTTTGGCATTCATAGATATTTAAATGGCAGTGGGTGGGCCCTCGCGCAGACGGAGATCTCTGACAGACCTGCACATATATCCGCGGAGGGATATTAGTTAATTCCGGATCTAACAGCAGAGATAGGCCCGGTTTCGACGCACACGGGACCGCCGCTGCTCGACCCGATTCACGCGGACTCGCTTGGGATTTTGTGCTCCGTTATTGAAGGGTGTTTTTGCATTGGCACCGCCCTTCCTGGCGGGGTGGGTCCGTGCGTCAGAGCTGCGCCACAGTCCGCGGCCGCTGGAGCAAATAGGCCGTCCTTCTGCTGGGCTGTTGCCTGCCTTCTGCCTGCCTTCCTCGGCGTCCGGCCTTTTTTTCTCTTAAACAACTCCTCTCCGGGTTTTATTAATGCGGAATGAGTGGTACGTACCCTCCCCTCCGTATGCGTCTCCACCCCTTAATTCTCCATGCGTGCGTCTGTGCTATCCATCCATCGATGTCCCCCTACTTTTAAATGGGATCTGCTGTTTGTGTGTGCCCATTGATCAGTTTGGGGTGTTGTGCAATGCTTGTAATGGATAGGAAACCTTGTTTTTGGAGATAGTGTTGTGTTTAGATGTCCTGGAGGCTTTTGCATTTTAAAACCTGATCTTTGCATCATGCTTTTTGGTAATGCTGGATGCTTTACAAATGTAATGTGGCATTGCATTTATTTGATTTACAACTCCAAAATTCCTGTTTGCTTTGGTTTTGACATTTGACTTTTTTTTTCTTACAGATCAAAAAAAAGAAGCCATGGCCACAGATGAAGGGAAAGCCAGTGGAGGTGAAGAGGGTACGAAAGGGAAAAGTTCTGGATCACAGGTATCAGTAAAGTTTGACTTGAAGTGGTCTATCATTTCTGCACTGAAAGCACTTCCTGATTATTGCAGGGCGCTTGGGTGCACAGTTACACACACACACACACTGTTCCTGTCTTAACCTGTTATGCTGTGCAATTCTGTGATAAAACATTTGTGTTAGGTAACACTTTTAATCTTTAGTCGGAACAAACATTTCATTATAATGATTTTACACAAACAAACATACAGTGGAGTCCAAAAGGCTGACACTGTATTTCTGGTTTGAAATGTAGTTTAAACCCAAGAACTAACTGAAAAATGTAAGACATTATGGCGTCAAATAAAGAATAAAGATGTATGAATCTGCGGTATTTCTTTGTCACCAATCGACAAGTTTTGTTTATGTCATATATCTTGGCAAAAGATATTTTCAAATTCTTGTACATTTTTCACTCTCAAGTATATTTTTGAATAGCAATATAATATAAATAACTAAAAAATATATATACGTTTTTGTGGAAGCAAAGAGAACATTGATAATGGAAGCACTGCTGTTATAATAAAAATAATAATATAAAGTTATTAAAAAATATTTTCAAATTCTTGTACATTTTTACTAAAATTAATTTGTTAATATAAGTTAATTGTGTCGGTGTATATATATATATATATATATATATATATATAAAGACTAATTTTTGTGACAACAGAACATAATCATGTTTTGTAATGTCAGCTCAAGTGTTACTGTAATTAAATCAATAATAATAATAAAAGCATGAGATATTTTCAAATTCTTTTACATTTTTCACCCAAGTTCCTTTAGTAATATGATAATATAATGTACATGAATAAGAAATTACATTTTTGTGGATACAAACATTATAATCATGTTTTGTTAATGTCAGCACTACTGTAATAATAATAATAATATAATTATTATTAATATAAGTAAAGATATTTATATATTTTTATATAAATTATTATAAATATTTATATAAATATTTTATATTTATTTATTTGATATATTCAAAGATATGTAATTCATTAATATAACTATATATCTATATATATGTGTATATCCATCTATATATTAGTATTAATAAGAAATAATGGAACACAGAACATGGTAATCATGTATTGTAATGTCAGCTCCAGTGTTGCTGTAATTAAAGCAATAATTATAATAATATAAGCAAAAGACATTTTCCAGACATTTTCACAAGTACATTTAATTTGTAAATGTATATATAAGAAATATATTATTTGTAATGGATATTAGAAGTATTTTCATTAGTGTTTACAGACTTTTGCAACCCACTGTACTTTAAATATTTGTTAGTATAATATTAATCAGTTGGTTTCAACAGAAAAGCATTTTTGTCATGAAGAGTTTGTTTCTCAAGCGTAGAGACTGTGGTTCACACACCCACTTACTCTTCCTGTGAACCCGCCCACATCTGCTGACTCTGACATCTCACTGTGTGTGTGTGTGTGTGTGTAGGATGCACAACCGTCTCCTCTCGCATTGCTCGCAGCGACGTGCAGTAAAATAGGAGGTGTTGGCAGCGAGGGTCAGGCGAACACACAACAGCAGATAATAATCGACCCGAACCAGGGTCTTCTTCAGCTCCAGAACCCCACGCAGCAGCTCGAGCTCGTTCCTGCACAGTTGACAGGAAACGGCTGGCAGATCATCGCAACTTCCCCTGCAACTGCAGCCAAGGACAACATTGGCACTAACGTCATAACCAATGAAGGCGTCGCGGGGCGAAAGATCAAGGCGGTCGGCTCGAATAATTCCCCTGGCGCACAGCAACAGCAACAGTTTCAAATCATCCAGGTGCAGAATTTGCCGAACTCGTCAGGTGGGATTCAGTATCAGGTCATCCCGCACCTTCAGACCGCGGATGGACAGCAGATCCAAATAAGCCCCAGTAACCCCGCAGCTTTAAGCGTTCAGCCCGAGCAGATCCAGCTCATTCCCACCGGAAACAACCAAGCTATTTTGGCCACGCCCCAAAGGACGGGATCCACCAGCATCGTCACTCAAAACCAGTCGATTCCGCTTCAAATCAGGCCGTCGTTTCCTCTGCAGCTGCAAACCATTCAGGGTACGCAAACGCCGATGGTGACCACGTTACCTATTAACCTTGGCGGTGTGACTTTGGCTCTCCCGGTTATCAATAACGTAGCGGGAGCGGGAGGCTCGGTTCAACTGGTCCAGTCAGCCGACGGAAGTATTTCCAATGGAAACCAGCTGATAGCAACGACTGTCACTAGCGCAGCAGAATCCTCCGGCGTTTCAACCTGCACGACGACTGCGACGGGCACCAATTCGGTCGTTGTGACCTCTACGGATGGCGTGACGTTATCCACAGCGTCCGTCGGAGCCCCCGAAACCCAGAAGGACGGTCAGTCGGGGGACGCAGACGCTCAGTCCAACGGCCTCCAACCTGCATCCGATCAGACCGGCCAAATCCAGCAGTTTCAAATCGTGGGGCATCCGGTTCTCCAGCAGATCCAGATCCAGTCGCCCCAGCAGCAGCAGCAGTTGGTCCAGGGCTCCATCCAGATCCAGCCCGGCCAGACTTTACAACCGCTGCAGCAGAACCTCCAGCTTCAGGCCTTCCAGAACCCCACGCAGGTTCTGATCCGCACGCCCACGCTCACCCCGTCAGGCCAGATCAGCTGGCAGACCGTCCAGGTCCAGAACGCAGGGATGCCCCAGCAGCTGACGCTCGCGCCCATGGCGTCGAACGCAGGAGGCGGGACCTACGCTCAGATCGCCCCGCTGACGCTCGGAGGCTCGCCAATCACGCTCACCGCGGCCCAGCTGCCCTCCGGCACCGGCGTGCAGACGGTGAACATCGCGGGTTTGGGCGCGGCTGGAGTCCAGGTGCAGGGCCTCCCGCTCACCATCACCGGCGTGCAAGGTAACACCCGCACTTCATGTGACACCTGTTGAAAACGGTGTTTAATATTTGTGTATAGTATAGGAATTTATACAATTTTCATTTACATTTAAGTTAGAGAATCTCATTAAAAAAATTAAACGCATGTATATATGATAACAAAGCATATTTCCCTTAGGAATAATTGATATTTATTTATTTATTTATAATTTTTTGCATTACAGTAATAAAAAAATTTGTTTAATTTAATTTAGGGATGGGCAATGATTAATCGCGATTAATCGCATCCAAAATAAAAGTTTGTGTTTACGTAATATATGTGTGTGTGTATAATTATTTTGCATATATAAATACACACACATGCATGTATATATTTTCATGTATATACTTTATATATATTTATATACATAATTAATATTATGTATAAATATAAATATTTGATATATTAAGAACACATTTTTCTTAAATATATACATGCATGTGTTAGTATTTATATATATATACGAAATAATTATACACACCACACACACATATATTACGTAAACACAAACTTTTATTTTGGATGCGATTAATCGCTATTAATCATTGCCCATCCCTAATATTACATTTAATATAATTTAAAAATACAAACAGTAAAGCAAAACATTTTTTAATTCTAAAAAATATAATTTAATTTTTCCTACGCTTATAATGATTCAGCTGCACAAAGTTTTGCGATAGTTATCAATATGCTTTTAACATATATCCAAAAAGTAAAATATTTTACTTTTAAATTTGAAGATATTTATATTTTTAACCATTTGTGAACTGTTCTTGGTGTTTAATTTGAAAGATTTCAGACTCTGTAAACTAGTGGAAAAGTAGCATGAAATGCAGTGATGTGTTTTCTTTATTACTCATGAAGTAAAACGGCAAATCAAGGCAATTATATTTTATAAGTCAGAGTCTGAATGCTGTTTCCAAATCCCTTGTAAGGTGTCAGATTTCAGACTCTTTGTTACTGCCCTTTGCAAGTTTGGTTTCACCCTGGAAAAGAAAGTTTCAGCAGATCTCGTCTCCTGTAAGTGTGTTTTACTCGGGTAGCACTGCAACCACCGTGACTCACTCGTTTAGGACACTTGCTTTTAAAGGTCTAAATTATATCCAAAGCTTCCTTTTTCATTATTTCCCAAAACTTGTAAGATTTATTCGTATCCACTGGCGTTTGAACAGTTCTTGCAATCAAGCATTCACCGAGTGATTTAATCAATAGTGCTGTTTGTAAATTCCCACAGGTCAGCAGCAGGGTCAAGATGGGGTCAAAGTTCAGTCCACCCCAGTGACGGTCACTGTGGGCAACATCAGCAGCACGACCCTGAACGCAGTGAGCCCAGACCAGATGGGACAGGTCCAAAGCCCGTCGGACCAGGAGGGTCAGCCCAGCAAGAGGCTGCGCAGGGTGGCCTGCTCCTGCCCGAACTGCAGGGATGGAGAGGGGAGGTACGGCAGAGCATAACAACAGGGAACAAGGAGAGGAGTGTAAAATGAGAGGGTTAAAGCAGAGGAACCGAAAGAGATTAAACGGGAGGATTAGAAGAGTTTGAGTAGAGCGTTTTTACACACCATTTATCATCATCATCAGAAAATGTCAAATGTTTTTTTTTTTGGTGACACTTTACAATAAGGTTAACATTACAATAAGTTAACATTAACTAAGAATGAACAATACTTCTTTGAACTTTAAAAAAAAAAAACTTTTGCTGATAATTTACTCACCCTCATGTCATCCAAGATGTCCACGTCTTTCTTTCTTCAGTCGAAAAGAAATTAAGGTTTTTGATGAAAACATTCCAGGATTTTCTCCATATAATGGACTTCAATGGGGACCAAACGGTTCAAGGTCCAAATGAGAGTTTCAGTGCAGCTTCAAAGGGCTTTAAACGACACCAGACGATGAATAAGGGTCTTATCTAGCGAAACGATCGCTCATTTAACAAATAAAAAAAAGTTTAAGTTTTATAAGCTCAAATGCTCGCCTTGCTCTGTTCTGTGATGAGCGTTCGTGACTCTCCTGTTCAAACATGTTCATCAAAATGAATGAATCTTTTTTCGAGTCATGACTCGAAGGGTCCTAGATAAGACCCTTATTCATCGTCTGGTGTCATTTAAAGCCCTTTGAAGCTGCACTGAAACTGTTATTTGGACCTTGAACCGTTTGGTTCCCATTAAAGTCCATTATATGGAGAAAATCCTGGAATGTTTTCATCAAAAACATGAATTTCTTTTCGACTGAAGAAAGAAAGACATGGACATCTTGGATGACATGATGGGGGTGTGTAAATTATCAGCAACTCGGCTCATTGCCAGCAAAAATCGCTTGGGTGTGAACAAAAAAAACGCTGGCGAATAACGCGCCGATATTTAGACCCGTACACGTGTTACCGTTTTTTTTAGTTGATAAAACTGTACAAAAATACACACAAATCTCAAGAGCCTTTTTTAACGGATACAAAAGTATTTAACTTAATGTTTTTTGTGGGTTTTGACCAGGTGAAGCATTTTTGAGCATCAGTTGTGTGTATTCCTCTGTTTGGACAGAAACAACAGTGACCCCTCCAAGAAGAAACAGCACGTGTGTCACATGGAGGGTTGCGGGAAGGTTTACGGAAAGACGTCTCACCTGAGGGCTCACCTGCGCTGGCACACGGGAGAGAGGCCGTTCGTCTGCAACTGGATCTTCTGCGGGAAACGCTTTACCAGGAGCGACGAGCTACAGCGGCATCGCAGGACGCACACAGGTGCACACACTATCACACACAACGCACTTCTGCACACAACAGGGAAACTACAGGCTATGTTTCTCACTACTCATCTGCCATATTTACGGAGGCGTATTGCATTCACTTGAAGAAAAAAAAATCTACTCTGTTTTTCTGAATTAACGAGTTAATTTTTCATGAGAAAAAAAATTTTTGCTCTGTTTTTCTGAATTAATGAGTTAATTTTTCATGAGAAAAAAATATTTTTCTCAGTTTTTCTGAATTAATGAGTTAATTTTTTATGAGAAATTTTTTTTTTTGCTCTGTTTTTCTGAATTAATGAGTTAATTTTTCATGGAATTTTTTTTTGCTCTGTTTTTCTGAATTAACGAGTTAATTCAGAAAAAACAGAGCAAAAACGTTTTTTCTCACGAAAAATTAACTCATTAATTCAGAAAAACAGAGAAAAAAATATTTTCTCATGAAAAATTAACTCATTAATTTAGAAAAACAGAGAAAAACTTTTTTTCTCATGAAAAATTAACTCATTAATTCAGAAAAACAGAGTAGATTTTTTTCTTCAAGTGAATGCAATACGCCTCCGTACATATTATATATTCATATCAACTTTTTGTTTTTCACAACTCATCTGAACTCTTATGCCCTGTTCACACATGGTATTAGGATGCGTTTCGTTCAATTATATCACAAGTGGACAACGCTAAATACAGGAGTAAATGAGTCTAAACCGCTTTGAGCTTGTCCACTTTCAACCACTTCCAGAGTTGGTAACACATTCAAACGGATTGCTTTCGTAGTGTAAACGCTCATGTGATCGAATGCGTCCAAACAGCCACAAAAGACCGTCTACTCTCCGCCAACTGAACTAATGCGTGGACATTATGGAAAGTGCGCAAGACGGACGGGATTTAAGCCCAGTTTGGTGTAAAGATGAAAAACATACCAAGCACAATGTTCTCCCACCATTGCTGATTTCTAACACACACTCCCAGTGTTCGACTGGTCTTGCGTCTGTCAGGGCAGAAACGTTTATTTTGTCCATTAGATTGAAAGATCTGAAAAAGCCCATCTATTTACCCGCCCATAGACCCTCCCCTCAAAGACATCAGGACAGAAATGGTTGAAAGTGTATAAAAGAGACGGATTAAACATCAGGTGTAAATGGGAATGTGTCTCTTTCATCAGCTTGTGATCTGATCGGCCAAAACGCATCTTAATTCCATGTGTAAACGGCCAAAGATGACATTTAGATCTGGTATTTGGCTTATTCGTGAAGCATACAGCTTACAATTTGGCCAAAACAAGGTATTTTAGCTGGCAACATAATGCCGCTTCCTTTCGGAAAAACACATAGACTGTAAAAAACGCCCCTGTGAAGGTGAAGCCGCCAGTATCCCGGTATGGCGCTGACATCTTGGAACTTGAGTCTGCGCAGAAGCGTTTTCGGGACCAGATGTGCGCAGTCGTGAGCAGGAAGTAAAGCCGCGAAATCAAGGCCCCGCCCTCACTCTCGCAGAATGTATCGCAAACGCAATTTATAAATTAATTATAGAAATTTATATATTAAATTTAAAGCTCCAATCTCTTCAGTCCTCCGAAGATCCCGAAAAAAAGGACCTGTCAATCATGATGTCACACCTCCGCATCAAATAACTAACTAAAAACTTATTTAAAAAAAAAACTCTTGGAATTACATCAGCGTGATAAAAACTACTGTTAATGACGGAAATCATCTTTGGGAAAACGATATTTGAAGTGTAATTTAATTGTTTAGTTGGTCTCACTTGGCGGGGTTTATGACCTATACTAGGACCGGCCACCGGGGGCGATCGAGACATTTTGGCTTGGCTTTTCGGGGCTTGTGCCGTACGCTTGGAAAAACATTTGCATCGCGAGCACGAATACGAGGCCTTAAAATGTTGAGAAAGCAGCTCCGTAATGTATTGCCTGTTTTTTCTTTGCTCTGATCTGAATACTAACGATTGTCTCCGTCCCGATCAGGTGAGAAGAGGTTCGAGTGTCCGGAATGTTCCAAGAGGTTCATGCGCAGCGACCACCTTTCAAAGCACATCAAAACCCACCAGAACAAAAAAGGTGGGGCGGCACTTACCATCATCACCACAGATGAAATGGAAGAGGAGGTGGACGAGGTCCTGGGCTCGCCGAGGATCGTCACCGTGGCGTCGCTCTCGCAGGATTCGAACCCGGCCACGCCCACGACTTCAAACAATTTAGAGGAGGAGTTTGAGTAGCTTTCCCTCCAAATTATATTATCGTCGAAAAGCACCACGATATTGTTTGTTCTTTTGTTGATATGTTGATTTGTTTATGTTCTTCATTCTTTTTCTATTGACGATGGACAACTCGATTTTTCATATGGAAGTTTAATACTATTAAATATTCTGACAAAGAATAATCTAAAGGAGGAAATATGTATGAGCTGTTAAGAGACATAACACGCGCGTTTCGAGTAGCACAAGTTCCCAGATGCTCCAGAAGATGTCGCTATGCACAAAAAAAAAATGATATTTATCTGTTTTCGCAGTGCTATGAAATATACAGTCGGGGATGAGAATCTTGGAGCTTTGGTTTTTTCGCGTACGATCAGGCTAGAAAGATGAGCGTATGTACACGTTTAGAGCCTCAGCACAACGCCGTCGAATTGGCGAGCGCGTGTTGATTATCAGCAGTCAAACTTTTATGTAGGAGAAACGAGATTATAGAGACGGGCTATTTAAAGAAAAGCACATTAGATTTACAAATAATGCATTCCAGTTACGATTTCTTTAGAAAAAATACAAAAATAAAGGAGAAAGGAAAAGAAGTAGAAAAAAAAACACAAAAACAATCTAGCTTTCTAAGACATGCTATGTTAAACGAAGGCAATACTATAAAGACAATCTTTGTAAAACCATGTTTACATTACCGAGGGGTCGAAAAGGTTCAAGAAAAACACCTGATCTCAAGTCATATAAACTGTACTCTGATGCCTTAAAAACACTGCAGTACCGGATGGGTGGGGGGACGTGGGGCTTCGACTGTGTTTTCAAACATATTCGAGTGCCCTTTTTATACACTGACTGTGGCCACTATGATCCGCCCAGGTAAAGATCCTCCCGACCCGTTAATGTGTCCTCCTGTCGCCCCCGATGACTTTAGTGCGCTCTCCAAAGAGATTTGACCCCGTCACGTGCACCAATCCCGGTACGGGACGTCTCCAGGTCACGGGAAACCACGAAGCCACTTAGATGAGTTTGATGTTCGGAAATCCGTGGTGTGTGGCGTTCTTCTTCGTGAGGTTTATGTTCTCCCGCTCTCGTTTAGTTTGGTTCGTTTTCATTTCAAACCCATTTTTTGGTTCTCGCACAACACGAGTACATGCCACCTGTGTGTCTAATTTATTATTTATCCTTCTATTAGTATTTGCTAATGTGTATCGTGCGCTGTTAATGCAGTTATGACGTGCTGCATGGTTCATTTCCTCTAACGATCTCTATTTAGTAACGATTTGCTATTTCTAAACGTGGTCCTTTTAGAAGTAAAACCATGGCTTTTTAATTTATCTGAAGTTTCCCACCATGACGTGTTTCAAATGGAGAATTAAAAAAAAAAAAGTTTAAAAAGAAATGGTTGAAACCAAACAATTATAAATAGATGTTTTTGGTAATATTTTCTGTGGCGAGCGATTTTTTTCTTTAATCTTTTCTAGTGACACCTCATTTGTAAATCATTTTTCTAAGATGTTCCTTTGTCCTCATGGCATTTGATAATGAATTTTTTTGCCAGGTTAGCCTGAAAGGCTGCAGTTTATTGATATTTTTAAAACAACTTTGTACAAACGTGTTATGTTAATGGGTAAACAAAAAAAAAAAAAGAGGAAAAAGAAAAAAAATCTTTGCCTGCATAACACTTGAAATTAAAGTGAGTAATTCTGTCTTAAATGTTTCATGTCTATGTCGAATTCTTTATTTCAGTCTGTGGTTTCATTTACAGCGTAAGACCGAACGTATCCTGAATTACAGTATTCCTTTCTTGGTAACACTTTACATGGACCTGGACCTTCGCTAACATGATGCCTGATTGTATTTTAAAGGGGTGGTAAAGTATGATTTCACCTTTCTAACTTTAGTTAGTGTGTAATGTTGCTGTTTGAGCATATACGACATTATCGTTAAGTTACAATGCTCAAAGTTCAAAGCAAAGGAAGATGTTTGCTTTTAAAGAAAAGGACTACAACAAACGGCTGGTAGGGACTACACGAGCTTCCTCCCGGGTTAGTGACCTCACCAACCCTAAAATGTGCATAAGCCCCGCTCCCGGGAACATGTTGAGAAGAGGAAGAGTAGTTATATATGAGTACATTTGTGAATCAGCTCAAACAGTTCCTATATGAGCGATTTATAGCTTATATGAGAGAATATGCTAATTGCAGATTAGCATATTTTCCTGTTGTATTCTATATGTTGAGTCTCTCCATCTTTGACTGACTCCGTTTTAACTTTAAAGGCAGAACCGTTCCTGTCATTTTAGTGTCTGCGTGAGGAAATGGCAGCTGCTAACACACACGCGCTCTTGAAATCCCGCCCACTCCAGCTCATTTGCATTTAAAGGGCCAGGCTCAAAACGTTGTGTTTTGCAAACCCTCAAAAGTGACAACTTTAACATGCTATATAATAATATCTGTGGGGTATTTTGTGCTAAAACGTCACACACACTCTGAGGACATCATTACATCTTGTGAAAATGGCATTTTACCACCCCTTTAAAGCAATAATAATGCTGTGGTTACTACAAAGTTGGCAAGGTTTCATAAATTAAACATAATAATGCTTAGCAATTAGCAATGTTTAGCTGAATGCTTGCCAAGAAAGCAGTAATAATGACGTAATGATGTCACAAGTGCGAAAGTATAGAGTGTCGAAGTTACAACGTCACTCTGTAGGCCAAAACGCGGAAGTGCTCCCGGTTCCATCGCTCTAAAGTCTATGGGTTTTTGCTAAATCGCCTGAAATAAGGTCTGTGGTGAACAAAGCCTCTAAATATTTTCACGTTTTGATCTATGACATAAAATACACAGTTATAACCTGCTTGTGTGGTTTTTTTTTTTACTTTGTCTGCTTGTATTTTTTAAAAACTTAAGGCTTCAGAATGTATAAATTTTGGATTATCTTGTAAAGTTGATCTTGATAGACAAAACGTGTAAGAGTCACAACTCTTTGTTAAACACAATCTTATTTTTTGCGATTTTCCAAAAGTTTATGGGGAAAATCAAATGCAAATCGAGGGAACCCATGCGCCGCTAACTTCCGAGTTGTCCTACAAAGTGACGTCATCACTTCGGCACTCAGTCTTTTCCCATTTCGAACTCAATATGTTCGGTTTCGAACGCAGCTCAACTACTCAGACATTTATACAAATTAGACATTTGTATATAAACTCGATTCAAAACACTAGTTTTAGCTGAGGTACGGCATGTCACGCAGCTGATTGACCGGTCATGTGACGCTACCGATGTCATTCTGATTGAATCTGATCACCCACACCTGAAGGATCTGTCGAGTGCTGAAGTCAGTGGCAGGAGGGCAGGAGTGAGGATGATGATGATGTGTGGAGGTGGTTTCATGTGGGCAGGTGGGCGGATCTCTTTTGTTCTTTTCTTCATTTGATTGACAGCTCTGTACCTGCAGTGCGCCAGCAAAGGGGCTCGAGCGTTTATCCACTTTAACAGCTGTGTGTGTGTGTGTGTCTGCATCGAGACAGGAATCGAGCACCTGTCTCTACAAAAAATGTTTATGACATGTCTCACCAGTTTTATGTTAATATTTCATACCGTATGATAATGAGATTCATAGATACTTTCAGCATCGAGACAGGTTTGCAAAAAATAATCCATCTATCACAGATAAACAATGTTGAAAAGCCAAAGCAAATGAAAACAAAATTGAACAAGATTTGCCTTTCAAGAAAATGACTTTTCATTTTTAGGTTCATTTTGATGAAAAGATTCATATGTAAGGCTTTGGATGCCATCTATAACTCCATTCATATTATATAACTCAATATCAATACTCAAACTAAATCAGAGACATGAACACACAAGTTTATAGGTTAAAACAAAATAGGTTTAACTCAAAAACTGAAATACTTAATTTCACAACATAAAAAGTGAAATAAAAGGACCTTTATTAAAACTCTAATTTCCAATGTTTTCAGAGAGAAATTGTGCAAATAAGAGAATGTTCAGTAATGTTACAAGCTTTTATGATATCTGTATAATACGCAAGAGAACAGTACGAGTCATAAAAGCGAAATTAAAATCAGAAAAGTTCAGTAAAACACGAAGTATAAGTGAAACTCCTGATTTGCATATCCGTGCTGAACACAGTGTTAAAACGTCAGTGTTTCCATGCTCAACTTTAAAAGCGTCAGGAGTGAAGCGTGGAGTAGACGATGATCCGTTTGATTCCTTCACACGGAGGCCAGACGATCCCGCTTCACTCCATGTCCTTCTGTAGACTTCAAGCACAAACACAAACAACGTTAAAATCCCTCAGACTCACGCTCACCGTTTTCTGCCCAGACTAATAGAGGAAAATAATGATCAACACACTGTGATGAAGTCAGCATGAAACCATTCACATTTGACTTCTGTAATGTGAAAGTTCTCGAAGTGAAATAGGATATTCAATGAGGAAAAACAAATGTAAAGAGGCACTTGATTTTATCTATCAGGAATTAACTGCGCTGTGAAAAGTTACAAAAATCTGAAATACCTTCTGATAAACCAGACTTTACCAAACTAGGGTTATTGAGGGAACTACAAGTGTAGATATATATATATATAATAATATAAATAAATATATATATAAAAAAATATATATATAAATATATATACACAGATATACAAATAGATATACAAGTTCATTAGTTAATAATAGCTAATAATTATTTACATATGGAAAATCTAAATGTCTAATTTATTTTGATTTGTATTAATTACTATGAGGGTGGTTTGTAAGTTTGTAAAAGCCATTAATTCAGAATGTATAGTAAATATTTATTTAATAAAAATAAGTTATTACTATAAAAAAGATGAAATATTTTATTAGTTTACCTGCATCTCATGTGACCCTCAATCAACAAAAGAACTGTGAACATGCAAATGTGTTGTTAAATTGTTAAAATATCATCTTAAAGTCCCCCTTAGCCTATAGTCAATAATTCTATCCCTTTTTATCTTCGATAATCAATGATCTATGATCGAAATTATTTTAATGATCTAAAAAAAAACGTTTAGCGGTAGTTTTTCCTGTGAATGTTTTTTTCACGTTTTAAAACTGCTTGAAATGTAACTCTACACCCTTGCCTCATTTAGCATACGCAGATCATGAATATGCAAATGAGTCCCCGCCTCCACTTACTCGCACCAGCTCGTCTGTAGTAAACGCTGCACGATGTCAAGAGGAAATATTGGTTTATTTCAGCCATACATGTTTAATTTGACTCATTCCTGCAGATTTCCCGCCTCTCAGTACTTTTTTGCTACCTCGTGCACTTAAACAGTCAAATACACACAAAAATATTGTTAAAATGACAAGTATTCAAAGACGTAAACACAGTCAGTTATCTTTCAAGTGAATGTAAACCGCTGAGAAAGAAAATGCATGTGTAACACTATAATAGATCCGTGCGTCAGATCTTAAAGTGACAGTAGCCTAATATACCTGCACCTAAATTATGAGATAATATTAAAAATATATTTATGTTGGTTTTTCCCCCCATGTTACCCATGTCAAAATTGTGGCCAGTGAAAATGGTGAGACAAAAAGGTAAAGTCAGGCCCTGCTTATGCATGTAAAAGTGTGTGGATCCGTGTGGGAAAAAAATAACAAAACTCCAAACCTCTCCAAGTACTCCTTAACGTTGTCGTGTCCGTAGAATTTGGCTAGTCTGGTGAGAGCCCCGGTGGCGCAGCGTCCGTCACGCTTCCGGCACAGACTGCAGTTACACACTCCTCGACAGATGGGACACTCCCACGTCTGGAGGAAACACAAGCTCATCATCATCATCATCGGCTCAGGCTCATACTTCCGTAAGTGTTTTAATGTTTTCAAAACGGGTTAATTACTCCACAGCTTCACCATCTGTTAGTATCATCTACAACTTTACATTTCATAAAGAAAGTCCATCCATAAATCTTCATTAGTAATCATTTTAGTCAACAATCCCACTGGCTCAAAGGACTTACAGGATCCAGCAGAGCCGCGCGGACGTCTTCTCCGTAGCGGTTTCGTAAGCAGGGGCCGCAGAACTGACCTTTGACCCCCTGGCAGTACAAGCCCCTGCATTCCGTCTTGGTGTCGAGGGTCTTCTGACGGCACTGGTGACACGTGCTCCCCTGAGAACGCACGAGTCACATTAGCGCATCGAACACGAGCGTGACGAGGTAACAGTGCGGCGACACTCACGTTGTCTTTATCAAGGATTTTGTCTTTGGCGCGATCGGCCACGTTCTCCAGCTCTTCTTCGGTGATGTCATCCGGCATGCGGATGGACTCGCGCGAGCGCCGCCGCCGCTTCTTCTGCTGCTTGGGCCGCGCGTCTCCGAGACCATCCTTCACCTGAAAACCAAACCAGCGCGCGCTCAATAAACAAGACTTCACTAAAACTCAATGACAAACTGGGCGGGAATCCCAATGCAACTAATAATATAATACAAAATACACAATTAATCCTCAAAAAAAAAAATACTAGGCCTACATAATAGATTTAATAGAAGAAATTAGAGCCCGACCGATAAAGGATTTTGAAGGCCGATACCGATACAAAGATTTTTTTTTTTTTTTTTTTAAATCCGATATATCGGCCGATATTTTTTTTTTTTTCGAAACGCGCAACAAAACATTAACAGATTTCCCTAACATTAGTTATTTGTAGTTATTTAT